CTCCAGACTATAATAAGGACTGCTTGTACACACACACCCCTTGCAGAAGTCAACGCAGGAACAGTTGGAGAACAGAATTGTGAGCTTGGCAGGCTGGATTGCTGCCACGGCTTATCTGTGCTGGTTTGCTGCCAAGGACCTGTCTGTCTGTTAATAAATTCCGGAAAGTATCTTTGACTCGGAGTGTGTTGGTGTGGGAAGAGGGTGGTCAGAACAGTATGTTTGTGTTTTATTTTTATGGTTATAATGTATACTGAAGGTGGCATTTAATTTCGTTGTACAAGGTGCAATAACAATAAAGTAAGCTAAACTAAATCAAAGTCCAACCCAGGATCTGCTGCTTGAGATCACAAGCAAAGAGCTTTCTTCTCCCCCAAAGATTACACGTGGGAACCCCAAAACATTGGTGAGCTTTGACAATGTCACGCAACAGCAGGTCACTGAAATTAAAAACTTTGGCCAGGAAACTATTTACCTCTTGCGTGATGGGTGGCCGGAATTGTTTGTGAAGCTCAATAATTATCCTCAAGCAAATAAGAACATTTTCTTCATTTTCGGTCTAAAAATGAGGGTGGGAGAGAGATAGAAAAGGGTTTATTACATAACAAAAATCAAAAATCAGAACCGCATAGTGCAAACGGTTTGGAACAAAAATGCGAAGAGAAGAATCAAACAGCATTACCTCTAGAAATCTAAACATCACAGATAAGATATTTTTGGTGTGCGGGCGCAGATGCTCGTTGGTTGGTATTCTGTGGATTATTTCCAAAACTAATTTTCTCAGTTGCTGCAGAAGGGGAGAGAGAAAAAAAAACGAGGAACAGAACTTGGTTTTTGAATGATAAACATGTTTACGTTAAAATATAAGACCCATGCCCTGTTTTGGCCGGCGGGGTACTGTAGGAGGCAGCCGTCCCATCCTTCCCCCTGCCCTCCCGCCACCACTGGCCCACAGAGGAGAACTACAATGCTGATTCGGCCCTCGAAGAAACCCAGTTTGACACCCCTGATCTACAAGACAAGGAAACACCTGTTTTTCTTTGGAAATTCATCCCCTCCTTGGCCGTCCCAGTTGAACGAAGCATGATGATTTCTGGAGCATACCTGTGCAGGTTTTTCCTGCAGGAACTGGACTTCCCCATCTTGGAGAAACGTCAGGAAGCGAGGGATGATGTGTTCCAGGAATGTGGAATATTGAGGAGATGAAGTGACGTTCTAGCAAGAGAAAAATAAAAGACTTTTTGGAGGGAGCGGGGGGGGGGGCGTTTCCAACCATGCAGAGGACGTAAAATACTGCTTTCTCAACCTCAACTTTAAGATGGGTGGACTCCCAGAATTCCCCAGCCAACCTCCGTTACAGGTACTCCTCGACCTACAACAATTGGGCCCAGAATTCCTGTGGCTAAGCGAGAAAAGTAAAAGTGGACGTTGCCCCGTGTTACAACTTTCCTTGCCGCGGTTGTTAAGTGAATCACTGCAGTTGTTAAGTTAGCAAGACTTACTTCAGTTAAGTGAATCTGGCTTCGCTTTTATTTATTTTATTTCCAACAGTCATAAGTCACTTTTTTCAGTGCCGATCAATTTTGAAACCGTCATTAAATGAACGATTGAATGTCAAGGACTACCTATATTTCTTTCCGATCCTCAGGTGCTTTGGAGGAGAGGTTGACCCCCCCCTCTTCTTTGTGACACCCCCATAAATATTGGGAGACTGTTATTATGTTACCTGTAGTCGTGATAACAGTTTTCCAACATCTACCAGCAGCTCCCCAGATTCATGGCACGACAAAACCGCGCTCGACTAAAGCGCGCCCGATTAAACCGCNCTGTTAATAAATTCTGGAAAGTATCTTTGACTCGGAGTGTGTTGGTGTGGGAAGAGGGTGGTCAGAACAGCTATATATATACAATACCCACAGTTGGCGAATATTGAACAAAAATAGCTTTCAAAAAGCCTCTGGATTAGTCCCATTTTTTACAGTTATATGGAAGGAAGCCAGGTCAAGGGCCAATCTAATATCTGGAGAGAGACTATTCTATAGTACCCTGTTTCCCTGAAAATAAGACCCCCCGGGATAATAAGCCCAATTAGGCTTTTGAGCGCATGTGCTAAAATAAGCCCCCCCCAAATAAGCCGTCCCCTAAAATATTTAAACGCACAGACAGTCCCCGTGATTTCCTGGGGGAAGGAGGAGAACGTGCCTCACGCACCAGACATGCACCTGCCAGCCACGCAGAACGGCCTCGCAGAGGCCACTCCCACAAATCCTAGCTACCGCGCCCCTTCTCTTAGTGGCAGCCCCAAAAAGAGCGGGAGGCCCAGCGACGCTAGGACTGGTAATAGTGTGCCAGAAACAGAGGCAGAAGTTCCTCCCCTCTCTGGATCAGCTGATCCACGGGCCGCGGGCCGAGGTTAAGGGGCCTCCTCCACCTCAAAAATAATAAGACCACCCTGAAAATAAGGCCAAGCTCTCAGTAGCTGTGGAGATGGTCACAAGGATGATTAGCCAATCCTGTGTTGTTAAGGACCACAGCACAATTGTGCTTTTTAAAAAATGCTTCAGCAAAAAGCTTTTTCAGCATTTGGAGAAAGGACAATCATCTTAGTTTTGTTCTTAACTCCACAATATCTCCTGGAGATGCTGCTGCTGAAAGCCTTTTCAATGCATTGCCCGAATTGTACATATCGATTATTGTCCTCATCATCGTGTGTCAACATTGATTATTCTCCTATCCTGCATAGGTGAGAAAAATAGACAAACGCCTTGAATTACGCTTCAGCAGCCTTGGTAAAAGCCGATGCAGCATCACTGACTAACAAAATTGTGAATTGTGAAGTTCATAGGAGAAAGGAAATCTTCAGATTTTAACTCTGAAATCTGTGTCTTCACTACTTCGCTTCCCTCCCCCCAAAGACAGGATAGAGTTTCTCACAACTCCCAGCTTTTTCAGAAGCCCGTTTATCATAAAAATGCCTGTCAACTCAACGTCAATCAGTTCTAGAAAACGGTTCACTGACAAAAGGGCGACCGACAAAAGCACACCCGATGAAACCGCGGTGACAAAACCGCGAGTTCTAAACCGCGCCGATGAATGAGCGCTGAAGCACGCCGACAACAGCCCGCCGACAGAAGCGCACTCTAAACCTAACCCTAAACCTAACCCTAAACCTAACCCTGACCCTAACCCTTACCTTAACTTAAACCGCGCTTCTGTCGGCGGGCTGTTGTCGGCGTGCT